TTAAGGCGGCTTACTGTCTCGTAGAGGACCAGGGTTAAAGTTAGGGTTCGGTGCCCAGCACCCATGTGGTGGTGGAACTCCAGTTCCAGGGGACTGACACTTCTTCTGGCTTCTGCAAACCCTTATACACACACAGTAAACAAACACAGGCAGACATGTACCCAAAAATTAAGAGAAAAATCTAAAACAAACCAAGGTGGTGAGCAATTCAGGAAGGTGATGTAAGTCAGTCAGTCTCTCGTCTCAATGTGTACAAGTACACAAGTACACACACACACCTGTACGGGCATGCACGCCCGGCACAGACACACAAGGAGCAGGTAAAATGAGGAAGTGGGGGACAACAAGGACACACCCTGGGAGGCAGGGAGGCTCTTCTCCCGAGGCTCCTCTGTGTGAGCGCTGAGCAACCACACACAGGTGTGTGCGGTTTTCTCCCCAACTGCGGCACAGCGAGCCTCTTGTGCGAGAGACACAGATTTGAAACAGGTGAACCACGTACCTGGGTCAAACACGTGAGCCTTCTAATTTTAGAATGACTTCACACGTGGGAAAACCGTAGACAATGGAACGGGGAAGCAGTATGAAGTTCAGAAAAGCTTTTGTTAGAGGAGGTGAGCTATGAGGAGCGTCCCGGCTGGCTGGCTGACCCACGTTCCGCCTGCTGTGTAAATAAGCGAAGCCTTCAAAGGCTTTCCCCCCTAATCTGACCTGCCCTCCTTCTGTCCAGCCCAGCCCCAACTGTCATCTCAACAGATTGGAGTCGACAGTCCCCAGGGATGCCTGACCTGGCCTCTCTCTCCCCAAGCAAATGAGAATGGTGACATGTCCTACGAAGAGCCCCGCAGTGAAGTTTCTGTCTTCATCATTTTTGAAAAGTCTTCCCGATGCTAAATTAAACCAGCCCTCAAATACACCGAGACCTCGTGGGCGTCCATAGACACTGGCCAAAGGTGAAAGATAAGGAATCCGAGGTGTAGACAGCCACTCTGAGGAGCGTGCAAGCGGGCAAGAACCTAGCTCGCAGGGGCCCAGAGGGGCCCTCGCCACCACACCTTCTTGGTCATTACAGCGAGTCTCATGAGAAAAGAACCAGATGAGCGGCCTGGGAATGTGCGCCTTGCCGAGGGCGAGGCACAGGGCTGCCCGACAGCTTGGTGACTGGTGCATTCTGTCCCTTTTAAAGGGGGCATTGAAGAGTGCCTTTTGAATATAGGTTGGAGCTTTTTCCTGAGGAGGGCGTCGCCTGTGTTCTAAGCTGTGGGTGCCGACGCCCTCACCTGCCTCCAGCTGATGTTTCTCTTTGAGTTTTATAAACAGATAGCCAACAAGGATGTAAGTTGATGCTCCAAACTTCAGAACACTGATTCCACTCCCGTGTCAGTTTATGCTCTAAATGACACACCGAGCAGCCAGTGACACTCGCGGGAGAGGTCCACAGACTGTGTCGTCACCCGTCGCGCGGGCTCCTGGAGGGCCAGGCGGAGATGTCCAATTCTTTGTAGGATTTTAGCAACCAAAGGGTTAGGATCTGAAGATACAAGAGCATCCTTGAGATGCAGCATCCCAAGAGAATCAAATGCAGCTGTCCCTCTGTATCCAGCAAGGACCAGTCCATACTTAAACTCAGAGATGCTCAAGTCCTTACAGGAAATAGTGTAGGTTATACACTGCAGTTACACTCATGTTCCCACACTTGTGTGTGTGCGCGTGCGTGCGCGCAGACCCAAAGCTGACATCAGGTGTCTTCCTGGATTGTTCTTCACTGTATTTATTGAGGCAGGGTCTTTCACTGTTTAAGCTAGGCTAGGAATCAGCCCCAGGAATCAGCTGTCTTCCCCTCTTAAGTGCTGGGATTACAGGGACTCACCATGCCTGTCCATTTTATATGTGGGATCTGAGGATGTGAACCCTGATCTTCACAGTTCTACCAAGCCATCTTCCTAGCCCCTTCTGTACATTGTAAATTACCTCTGCATTACTCTAATATGCAAAACAATGTATAAACAGTGGCCATATTGTTGATGTTTTTGTAAACATCTTGGGGAAGCAAGTCTACATATATTCAGTATGCTTGCCATTTTTCCAGGTATTTTTGATCCATTTATCCTTTGACTTCTAAGATGCAGAACCTGTAGGTATGGAGAGCCAATTCTGCATGGCAATCACATCACCACTTTCCTACCCAGCTCAGGGCAGGCATCACCAGTGATCACTGACTATAGTGCTCCCTAAAAACCTGACAGCATCCTCAGGAGGCCTCCAAGGACCCTCCTTGTCCACCAGGACAGCCTTGTGGAGATTCTCAAGCTGTCACTCAGCCCGGTCCCACAGATGAGGAAACTAATCTAAGCAGCCGCTTGAGGACTCGCCTGCGCAGGAACTGGGAAAGTCTGAAACCACTCGGGCCCCACCGCAGGATCCTGGTCTCCTCCCTGAGGCCCCGTGTTCTCCACTGTTCCACCCAAAGTAAATGCCTGAGAAGCCTTGACTGATGCAACCCAGTTTCCCACACCTCTGGCACCCTCCACCCTTCATGCTTGGGGATCTAAGAGAAAGGAACGGAATAAAATCTTACCAGGAAAGGCCAAGGGCAACTACCTGCTCTAATGGCATGGATGCCCCCCCCAGTGCATAAAAAGAAAGGGGGGGCAAACCCCGTGTACATCTGAGCCGAGGTCCCACCCTTGATTGGCACACGAATTTTCTCTCCACAGTGATCTGTGATGCTGGGCCTTCACCTAGGTCTGCCAGGGGCCCTTGTGGTACCATCGTCACACTCTGGGATGCATTAAACCAAATGCAGATCCGTTGGCTTCTAGTTCTGAGCAACAGAGTGGACAGCTGTGTCCATTTGCTACAGTCCTGAAATTCCTCCTCCTAACACCTAATGGATGCTTCTGGAATTTAGTACATGAGCCCAACCAATACCCAGGGCGTAAGGGGAGGGAAGCTCAGATGTTGAAGTCACTCAGTATATAAATGCAATAAAATTTCCAAAGCAGTGTTCACCTGTTTTGTAATATACATATGGGGCAACATAAGAAGACACCAAAATAATCACAAATTAGCACTGAGGGCTGGGGAGGGGGCTCAGGCAGTGAAGTGCCTGCGGGCCAAGCGTGAGGACCTGAGTTCAACCCCCGGCACCCATGTTAAAAAGAAGGATGTTGCTGAGTGCTTTTAATCCAGGTGCTCGGAAGCAGAGGCAGGAGGATCTCTGGGCTCGCTGGCCCAACCAGTCTAGCCTACTTGGCATGCCCCGAAGCATCGAGAGACCCTATCTCCAAAAAGATGGACAATGTTTCAAAGGATGACGTCCAAAGCTGTCGTCTGGTCTCCACATGAACAAATGTGCACCTACCTATGCACACATGTATCTGAACATGCACAGGCACATTTGAGCCCCCCCACTCACCCCAGGATTTCAGCCCTGAAGGTGACAGAGAGGGACGGGATAGACCAGCAGCCCTATAGGTAAGCTTACCTAAAAGAAGAGAAAGTGAGGCAGGTGAGTCCTACTTAGTCACCCAACCTTGGTCTCTGGAGAGTTGACCATGACAGTCACCACTGTTTTAACTTGACTCCTGGCCCCTCCCCCTGAGTCCCAGGACCTGGGTTCTAGAGGGTGCAAAACCATAGAGAACCAGTCCCACATCTAATCCTTCACCCAACTGAGAGCAGCCACCTCCCTTGTCCCCAGAGGGGGACGTACGTGGCTTGGGGCCTTCTGTACAGTGCAGTGTGGCTTCTGTTCTGGCCTGCCATCCTGAGCCTTCATGGGTACTTAGTTATTACAGAGTCCAGCAGCACAGCAGAGGATGGACTTGATTTGGAGGCCTCAGTGTGAGAAGGGTAAATCCTAAACGTTAGCTGATGTTGGGCCATTCCCTCGGGAGGAAACAAGAGAAAGAGGGAACTGGGCCTTCAGATGGGTTAGGGTCTGCGATTTTTCTGGCTGGAGGATCAGGTCTGCCAAGAGGCCCTACAGCACTCCAAGGAGGCTCAGCAGGAGCCACTCCAGGGCTCTGAGGGAGCAAGCAGGAGACCCCCAGACTCTGTCTGTCTATGTGAATAAACCTGAAGGGGTAACATAGGCAAGAGCATCCTTCCCACTGACAGCTACATTAGCATCTGCCACCATTCCTCAAGGAAGGACCCAGCAGCCAGCAGGTCTCCATTCCACCTGGCTGACCCAGCCCCGAAGCCGGCATGCTTCCGGTGCACAGTTTGGTTTAGAAGGATGGCAGGCAGAGCAGGGCCACACACCAGCATCGCAGCCTCCCACAGCTGCCTGCGGGTACTTTCATCAGGTACCAGAACAGGTGGCGACTCCTGCCTGGCCTCATGTCCAAGTTCCCTCAAGCCCAGGCTCTAAGTGTTGCTATGGCATCTGGTACTTGCTAGATGGCTTAGCAGGTAAGTGCCTGTCCCACAAACACGAGTACCTAAAGTACACACGCACCCCCCTGTCCCAACACACAGAAAAGCAGGAATCAAAATCACCGAGACAACCATTACCGTGTACAAACAGAGGCCACTAGCAGGAGTCCATGAAACAGGAGGGCTTTCCCTGGGACACTGAGATGGCGAGGGCGTTGTCTCCCAACTCTCAGAAGTATTGAGAGAGAGGGTGGGAGAAAGGTGGGCGGTTGACGGGAGCAAAACTACACAAAGGTCCCGGGGCGGAAATGGACAGGAGCTTCAGAAACCCAGTCACCACATGGTTGGTAAAGTATGGGCAGCTTCAAGCTCTGGGGTCCTGTAGGCCCCGTTTCACCTGCCACAGTGGTTGTCTAGAGAGATGAAGGACTCTGTGAATGGGCTGAGGGAGTGGGCACAGCCTCCGTGGGCCATGGTGAAGGCCTTCTAGTAGGCTTTCCTCTATCTGCCCAGAGAAGATGCAGAGGGTTCAAGGACAGGCAAGCGCCCCAGGGAGGGTGCTCTACAGATGTGAGGCAGGACCATAACCCACCCACACCCAGGGAGGATGGACTCACCACTCAGGGGGTACGTGCTGTTCTCCAGAGCCTGGCACACAGCTAACAAGATACCTGTGGAGGAAGCAGAGATGGTGGGTAAGCGTCTCCTCAGAAAAGAACTTCCTTGGAGGTCAGGCCCTTTGAAAGGCAAAGACTTCAGAATTTTATTAAGGGACCAACAAGTATGTCTGACTACCTTTTTTTTTTTTTTTTTTTTCCTATCCTGGTGTGATCAGACATGGGACAACCTGGGAATTGAACTCGGTTCCTCTGGAACATCAGTCAGTGCTCTTAATCACTGACTGGCTACCTTCTTTGAGGGGCTCAGTGCAAAATGAAAGCAAGGGCCCCTTGTGCCAAGACCAGGGGAAATATGCTGGTGGTGAGGGGGTGCACAGGGGACTATCAATAGCGTTTTCCTCTGGCTGCAGTTTCTCTCCACCTGTGTGGAGTTTTCTGTTTGCTGGTTATGTTGTTGCTCTCTTTGGGGTGTGAGGGGTACTCACAGGTTGCTTATGCCCCCCCCATACTCACACAGGGACAGATAGGCTTCCCTTTAGAAGCAATGTGCTGAGACATAGCCAGGGTCTAGCAAGGTATCTCTGCTTCCCTGGCACTGGCTGCCCCATCCAAGAAGGATGGTGACCCCCAGAGCATTGCACCACCAGTCGGGATGTCTGAGGAGCCTGGCTGAGGACAGCTGGGAAGGACTGTCACCACACTCTTCCTTGATACGTCATGGGTGTGTTCAGGTATGTCCAGGTCTCATTAGGTGCAGAGCATGGGAGAGTCAATGACCCACGAATGGAAGCCCAGTGATGGCAGTAGGTAGGACCCCGGGAACCAAGGCTCCCATGGACGTCCCTCATGAGACACAGACTCCAAGACAGCACAGCAAGGCCCACATGCAGGGCCTCTCTGTGATCTACGAAGCCACCTCTGCCAACAGGTGACCTGTGTGTGCCCTCATGTTACAGTGGTGGAAGTTTCTGGAAACAGAGCAGTAAGTTCTCATAAAGAAGGAAGCTCTTGTGAGTTTTGCCATCATCATGAATTAACTTCCTTGAACTGAAAGGCAGAGAGATGCTTCAGGCAGCCCTGCAGAGGAGGCTGGGTCTCAGGCAGACTGTTCTAGAAGGCTGACCCCCTAAGCCAACTACAGAAATCAAGATGGGTCTTAATTTGCCTCTCTACCACAGCATAGGACCCAGGTGACCTCTGAGGCTCAGCAGTGGGCTCCTGTTTCTCAGAGAAGGGTTTCCTTCCTATAGTCCACATGTTCAGAGGATTCCCCAGACACATTTCAAAGGGACGTCTGCCACGCATGCACGCACCCAGGGTTCCATTCCTGCCAGAGCCATAAAACGTTGGGGTTTGTGCTCTCGGGGCTGTGGGACAGTCATGTCCTGACGCTCTGCGGGCACTGCCACAAACCACTCTGGGCTGAAGTCAGTCAATGACCCGTAATCAGTCAAGGCTGACAAGGAGATGCCTGGCATACCTCAGGACAGGGAGCATGACCAGCCTGTCAGCAACTGTCCCCAAACCACTGAGTGATCCTTATGCCTCTTCCCTGCCTGTCAGGGCAAATAGCGCAATCCCAGCACTGAAGCTGCCCCTGCCAGCCTCTGGAGCAGAGACAGGGGATTGGGTGTGCACTGGGGCCAGTCCCCGACCTGGCACAAAGCCCCTTCATCCTTCGTTTTCTTCTCACCTGTCAGCTGCCAATTGCCAAACTCATGAAGGCATTTCAGGAAGTAATTAATGGCTGCAAAGAACGCACGTTCCTCTGAGGAATGAACAACACTTTGTTTTTATTTATGATTCTAGAGAGGTGAGCATAGTAGTTCCCTTCTGTCCCCTCACTTCCCACGATGCCTCGGCTTCACTCCAGCCGCTATGGGCCTGGGCCAGGCAGAAGGAGACTCAGCCTCTCTTCTCAGGTTCCACAGTTCCACGCAACCTGCACAGGTTTCTGCAGACGTTCTCATCTTGTTCTTTTCATGACCCTAGACGCAAGTTCCTCCCAGTCTCCCTGGCCCGTAGGGATGCCCAGGAAACAGAGGCTTAAAGATTCAGAACTTTGCCCAAGCGCCTATGCTAAATTGAAACTTGAATCTGCCCAGTTGCAATGTGCAAGACACTGTTGAGTGGATGTGCCCTGGCTGGTCACGACACAGCAGCAGGTATGTTTCACCTGGTATGACCCTCCTGGCTTAACCTACAGACTTGGCAGGCCCAGAGGTCTTCCAGAGGCTACAGCCTCACCTCTTGGGATTTTTCTCCTTGCTCTCAGTTTCCCCATAAGCCAGGCCTGGGCTGCTCCACCTGCGTACACTGGGGAGCTAGCAGCCCCCGCATGTGGCCTGGTGTCTGAAGGCCTTCTAGGAACATGTGGCCTTGGCAGAGAAGAGGCTCTGAGGAGCCAAGGGGCCACGGAAGCGCTGGCTGTCACCACCAGGGCTTGAAAGAGACAATCCAGTCTCAGGCTCAGCAGCAGGCAGGAGTCATGAATCTAGGCTGAGTGTCAAAGTCACCTGGCACTGGTCCTGGGGATGGGAAGACAGGCTGTAGGGCCACCCAGCCAGCTCTCCTCCCTCAGGGAGAGGCATCCTTTCCAGGCTGTCCTGCCAGGGTCTCCTCCTCATGTCTGTCTAACTAGCTCCAAAGCGGGAAACCCCAACTGCAGTCTTCAAAAAGAAGAGGAGGGCAGTGGGTGGTGTTGAGGGAAAAGCCACACACAACGGAAGTGTATCCTTAGGGAAGCCTGCTCCCTGTCCCCGGCGTAGAACTGGGACCCAGGCCTGCCCTCAAGCCAGGGTGAAATCACCATGGTTGTAATACAGCTGTCTGCCATTCAGAAACTTCCGACAGAAACAAGGCCAACCCATGCTTTGGGAGTCTGCAGAAGTGGGGTTACCCCCAAGCCTCTCCATGGTGGCAAAGTGAGAAATGCCATTGAGAGAGGCTGGGCACTCCCGTTCGCCTGGGCCCCAGAGCAGGGGAATCCACACTGCAGGCCCTGACTGAGATAGACAGTTCTGGACAGCGACTCAAGCTGGGCTTTCAGTCTGTCCTCTGTCCTCAATTGCCCGTCACTTGGCAATCACCTCTTATGGGGACATTCAGCAGTGGTGCCCAGGCCTGAGAGGGGCATCTTCAGGCTCCTGGCTGCCTCAGCCGAGGTGAGTGTGTCCTGCCCTGGCTGTTGCTGCAGCCTGCGTTTGCTCCCAGGCTCTTGTCTCTTTCACTGAATGACTCAGTGGGAACCTAGCAAGAGCTCCGCATCTCATCTGTGTTTGAACCTCTCTGCCTGCTTTTAGAGGGAAGGACAAGGTTGGGTGAAGCTCCTGGTGTCCAGGAAAGATGGGGAGGTGGGTCATGGTCACAGCAAGTGCCTTGGGGTGCAGATGCGGTGGGTTCAACAACAGAGCAGGGGAGGGGTGGGCAGGAGCTGGACTAGAGAGAGGCCGAAGGACATGAGCACTTGGGGGGCCCTGCTAGTCTCCCTTTCTTCCCCTCTCTCTTTGGAGGCGGAGAGCCATGGGGAACAGAGGAGGAGCCAAGGGAGAGGTGAGCAGCCTCCTGTGGGAAGCTTGGCAGCAGGTCTGCAGGGCTCCCAGCGACACAAGAATACCTGTGAATGGGTAACCCAGACCCTAGGCCCCCTGGCACAGAGCAGTAAGTGTTTTGCCCCACGAATTCCCCAGTGGAGAAGCAGCTCCCTGTCTCTCCTGGGAAGAGGTGTCAGTTTACACTTGGCCCTGCTCCCAGAGGTGCTGTGCACAAACTCCTGAGGACACCCGGGCAAAGCAGCAGAGGAACCCTGGTGGAACTGGCCAGACAGGACAGGGAGAACTCTGGGGACAGTGAAGCAAGGTGTTTGGAAAGACAAGAGACCCAGGAATGAGTCACTAGACAGATGGCCCCATGGGACACACGGCTCTTCCCGTAGCCACCCTACCTCCAGCGCAGTCTTCCAAATCACAGGCTGGACCTTGACAGCCAGGGAGAGAATCTGGTGGGGAACTCACTGGCAAAGCTCAGTGCTGGGTCAGGAGATGGGTCCTGATACAGAGTGGAACTGGGATTGCCGATGGTTGTGAGCTGCCATGTGGGTCCTAGGATTGGAAGCCGCATCCTCTGAAAGAGCAACAAGTGCTCTGTCCTGGCTGGTTTTGTGTCAACTTGACACAAGCTGGAGTCGTCAGAGAGGCAGGAGCCTCAGTTGAGGGATCTCTGAGATCCAGCTGTAAGGCATTTTCTCAAGGAGTGATCAATGGGGAGGGTCCAGCCCATGGTGGGTGGGGCCATCCCTGAGCTGGCGGTCCTGGGTTCTATAAGAAAGCAGGCTGAGCAAGCCAGGGGAAGCAAGGCAGGAAGCAGCTCCCCTCCATGGCCTCTGCATCAGCTCCTGCCTCCAGGATCTTGTCCTGGGTGAGTTCCTGTTCTGACTTCCTTCAGTAGTGAGCAGCAATGTGGAAGTGGAAGTTGAATAAACCCTTTCCTTCTCAATTGGCTTTTTGGTCATGGTGTTTTGAAGCAGCAATAGAAACCCGAACAAAGACATGCTCTTAACTGCTGAACCATCTCTCCAGCCCCTTGTTAGTTTGTATGGATACACAGGGCCTCTTCCTGGCCTGGAACTCCAGCGAGTCCCAGGAGCCTGACTCCATAACCCTATGCTAGGAGTACAAGCACATATCATCAGACCTGGCTTTTTCCACGGGTTCTGGGGGTCAAACTCAGGTCCTTATACTTGCAGGGCTACCACTTTAATTTTCAAGCAATCTCCCCAGACCAATACATTTTTTTTTTAATTTTGGAATTTTATTTTGGAATATTTGTTGTAGATGTTGAGATATTTTGGGAACAGGAGCAAAGTCCAAACAGAAGATTAATTTATTTCATATGTATGCCATATGAATAGACTCAGTGTCATTGGGTTCGTAATTTTAGGGTACCTGCCTGATGACTGTGACCCATTCCAGAAGGCCAGATGTGGAATCTTCTGCTTGAAGCCTTACATGAACACTTAAAACACTGCAGATTGTGGACTGCAGGTTTCCAGT